CTGAGGCACAAACATGTATCCCCTCACACCTCCTCCTCTCCTCCTCCTCCTCCTCCTCCTCCTCCCTCCTCCTCCTCCTCCTCCTCCTCCTCCTCCTCCTCCTCCTCATAGTCATCATCATCATCATCATCATCATCATCATCATCATCATCATCATCATCAGCAGCAGCAGCAGCAGCATCAGCATCATTATCATCAGCATCATGTTCAGTATCATCATCACCACCACCACGACAACCACTACCACCACCATCATAATAATTATCACCATTAGTATCATCGTCATCATCATCAGCAAAAGCATCATCAGCAGCATCATCAGCATCGTCATCGTAATCAGCATCAGCATCAGCATCATCATCATCAGTGCTGTATCATCAGCATCATCATCAGCAGCGGCAGCATTATCATCATCATCAGCATCATCATCAGCATCATCGTCATGAGCAGCATCATCAGCAGCATCATCATCGGCATCGTCATCATCATCATCAGCACCAGCTCGTGCTCCAGGTTCGCCTTCAGCCGCCTCGAATCGAATCATCAGCAGCAGCATCATCAGCATCAGCATCAGCATCAGCATCAGCATCAGCATCATCATCATCATCATCATCATCATCATCATCATCATCATCATCAACATCATCATCATCATCATCATCATCGTCAAAGTTCTGCTTGCCAGCAACGGGAATGCCAAGAAACTCTTCAGGGTGGTCAACGCCACCACCCTGAGAGAAGACCAGCACTCATGACAGATGCTGGCCAAGTTGACTCTGGGGCGCTCTGAGACCGAGCCAGAACTAACGCCAGCCAGAGAGGCGACGGAGACGTCGCGGCTGCTGAGCTCCGTCCCACAAGATAGAAAGCCACGCCAGAGTTCGCTCCCTGCGAGCCTCGCTGCGGGGCCCCACCCGACACCAAAAGGAGGAGGAGGAGGACGACGTCGACGAACCCACAACGGGAGGAGATCAGGCCGCAGCCCGTGAGGAGAGACTGAATGGGTGTCCACAGTGGCGACCAGCGCAAAATCCATGCCAAAGCGAGGCTCGTGTTCAGTTACTGCACTGCGGCTCTGGATGGCGGGCGCTCCACAGAAATCGCCCCGCGAAAACCAAACATCACCTTTTCCACGCCCTGCGGGCTCGGGCGGGCACTCACAGGCGGGACCCCGAGGGAGGCAGGAGGGGGGCGGAGGAGGACGAGGACGGTCGTCACCAGCATCAGCATGAGCATCAGCACCAGCATCATCATCATCATCATCATCATCATCATCATCATCATCATCATCATCAGCATCATCAGCATCATCATCGTCATCATCATCATCGCCGTCAACATCATCGTCATCATCAGCATCATCATCAGCATCATCATCATCATCACCACCATCATGAGCATCATCTAAATCATCATCAGCAGCAGCAGCAGCAGCACCAGCAGCATCATAATCATCACCATCATCATCATCAACAGCATCGTCGTAATCAGCAGCATCACCACCATCATCATCATCATCATCATCATCATCATCATCATGAGCACCATCCTCATCAAAATCCTCAGCATCCTCACCATCGTCATCACCTTATCAGCATCATCATCAGCAGTATCAATGCCAACATCAAAAGCAGCTTGGCCAGCAGCATCCTCATCAGTAATGTCAACATCATCCTCATCATCATTATCATCATCATCAGCATCATCATCGTCTTCTTCATCATCGGCGCCATCAATGTCACCATCAACATCCTCATCATCATTAGCATCAACATCATTCTCAGCATCCTTAGCATCATCATCATCATCACCATCGTCACAGGAATCACCTTATCACCTCACCACATCATCTGCATCATCATCAGCATCAGCAGCACCATCAGCATCCTCATCATCAGCAGCAGCATCATTGCTGCCACTGTAACCATCATCAGCATCATCTCCAGCGTCGGCACCATCAATGTAGTCGTCATCACCAACAGTATCTGCATCATCATCTTCACCATCATCGTCAGAACAATCCTCAATACCTTCCTCCTCATCATCGCCATCATCTTCATCAACACCACCACCATCATCATCAACTTCGCCAGCGTCATCACCAGCATCCCCACTACCGTCACCATCACCAGCAGCACCATTGATGTCGTCAGCATCAGAATCAGAATCAGAATCATCATCATCATCATCATCATCATCATCATCATCATCATCATCATCACCATCTTCCTCAGCATCCTTAGCATCCTTAACATTATCATCATCAGAATCATCACCCCCGTATCAGCATCATAATCAGCATCAGCATGCATGTCATCAGCATCATCAGCAGCATCATCGTTGATGCCATCGTGACCCTCATCAGCAGCATCAGCATCTTCATCGGCACAATCGATGCCATCATCTTCGTGAGACTCATCATCATTATCACCATTAGCTTGCATTATCAGCTTCATCAGCATCATCACCATCATCGTCAGCATCCTCATCACCACCTTCATCGTCATCAGAATGTTCCCCAAGATTGTCATCACCTGGATCGTCATCATCATCATCATCATCAACGTCATCAGCATCATCAGCACCATCACCATTATCATCCCCACTACCGTCATCATCCATATCATCAGTATCATGAATGTCGTCAGCATCTCATCTTCATCATCATCCGCATCATCAATTTCAGCAGCCTTAGCATCCTTACCATCATCATCATCAGCATCGATTCCATTATCATCATCACAACACCAGCAGCATCAGCATGGTCAGCATCATCATACATGGTATCATCATCAGCACCATCATCATTAATGCCATCGTCGTCATCATCAGCATCATCAGTTTCCTCATCATCGGCACCATCACTGCCATAAGAATCAGCATCCTCATCAGTATCCGCATCGTCGTCATCATCACCAACATCATCAACACCAAAATGATCCTCAATACCGTCATCATCAGTATCGCCATCATCTTCAGCAGCATCACCATCATCATCAACGGCATCGGCATCATCATCCCCACTACCGTCGTCATCATCATCAGCATACATAATGTCGTCAGCATCATCATCATCATCATCATCATCATCGTCAGCATCCTTAGCATCCTGATCATCATCACCACCACCACCTCCACCGTCATCATCACCGCCTCATCAGCATCATCATCGTCATCATCATCAGCATCGTGCATGTCATCATCATCATCACAAGCATCATCATCAGTAATGCCATCGTAATCATCATCAGCACCATCATCAGCATCTGCATCATCTTCTTCATCATCGGCACCACCACTGTCATCAGAATCGGAATCCACCTCATCATGATCATCACCATCAGCAGCATCATCAGCATCATCAGCAGCATCATCATCATGATCTGCACCATCATCACCACCATCTGCACCATCATCACACAAATGATCTTCATTATCGTCATCATCAAAATCGCCATGACATTCGCCATCATTATCATCATCAGCATCATCCAAATCATCATCATCATCATCATCATCATCATCATCATCATCATCATCATCATCATCACCAACGTCATGAGCATCGTCAGCATCCTCCCTACTACCGTCATAATCATCAGCGTCATTCATGTTGTCACCATCCTCATCATCAGGAATGTCGTCGTCATCATCAGCATCATCATCTATGTCAGCAACATCAACATCAGCATCCGGATCATCATCATTAGCGTTATCATGCGCATAATCATCAGGTTCACCATCATGAAATGCCATCATCATGATCAACATTATCATCAGAATCATCATCATCAGCAACATAAAAGTCGCAGGCATCATCATCATCCGCAACATCGTCATTGACGTCACCAGCATCATCATCATCAGCATCATAATCATCAACATTATCAGCATCAGCATCGTTTTCATCATCAGCGTCATCAGAAGCACTGTCATCATCAGCACCACCATCATCAGTATTATTGATGGCATCGTCATCATCAGCATCAAAATCGTCATCATTCATGTTATCATCATCATCATCATCATCATCATCCTAATACTCATCAACCTCAACATCATCATTAATGTCGTCATAATAATTATCATCACCATCGTCATACACCACCTCACATGCCCGGCAAACCTGGGGGCCCAGCCGGATTGCACCGGTGCAATCGCGAGGACTTTAGTTTGCACGTGCTGCACGAGAGGGCCGAACGCCACCGCAAACGTCCCCCACGACAGGGGACGGCGCGAGGAGGAGGAGGAGGAGGAGGGAGGACAAGGAAAAGGAAGAAAACGACCATCGCCAAACAAACAGGGGGCGACGCTAGAACGTACAGGCGACAATGGCAACTGCCGCGAGGCTGCTCAGCCACTATGAATCGCGCTTCAAAACTTGCAGAGCCTCGAGAAAATGACCGTGCCGTTTGGGGGCCCGGCAAAGAAACGGCACGATTGCTATCCAGCGTTTTTCCACACGGAGTGGTCCTCCAGGCCGCGCCAGCGGGGCTCCGCCGGGGGGTGGAAAACGCCTGACGGAAAACAGACCTGGATACTCCCACACCGGGAGCCGCGAGAGGGAGGAGGAGGAGGAGGAGGAGGAGAAAGGGGAGAGTGTGGGAAACGAACGCGGCGCTGGACGCGGGGAGAGAGCACGCGGGGCGTGGACGCGGCCGCGGGGCGTGAGCCACCAGGCGCCCCGCCGCGCGCGCCCAAGCCATCAAAAGGGTAAAAGGGGAAGCCGAGGCGGAGCGCGAGAGGAGGAAGAGAAGGCAGAGGGGGGAGGAGGAAGAGGAGGAAGAGGATGAGGATGAGGAATAGGAGGGAAGACGAAGCAGTGGGAGCAGAGGGCCCAGCGCAAGCAGTTCTGGCGCCGCGGCCTCTCCGAGGCGGCGCCCTCGGCTAACCCGAGGGCGCGGCCACGGGCGCCGACCCAGCAGGTGACGGGTCGACGCTGCCGGGGTGCCCGCGCCTGAATTCCACGTCTGGGTCGTGATAGGCATCGTCCTCATCAG